CTCAGCCTAAATATACAAGTCTTGTGTGAATGAAACAAAACACAACTCCAGGTAGTTTGCGATGAGGAAACAACATCAGAACACATATCAGAAAAAGGCTTTATATGGGCCCTTTAACATGGTACTGATTTGTCTGGAATATATATATAGTTTTAAAGTCAATTGAGAAAATATCTCAAAAAACATTCTGACTATGAGTGGGTTCTCCTCTCCACAAATCTGTCCTGTAAATTGGCCTTGTGACAAATTCAATATATATATGTATGTTTATTTCCTCTCTCCATCTTTTTCACCTGATTGCATTTTTTTATTTGACTATTATTATTATTGTCTCATGTTTTCATCAAACCAAGCTGTCATGCGTCTTGAGTTCAAATGCTCCTGCTGTTGCGGTGGGTTAAACGTTGTCTGTGCTTTGATCTGAATAGTTCTATTTTTCCACAGACTCCCTCTCAAAAGGCTTTTCAAACTCTTCAAAAGTTGTCATTCTTGGTAGAAGACATATTTCCAGCTGTTTTTAAAATCTCAGTCTTATTCAGATAATATCTTTATTTCGGGCAACAGTGAGTGTTTGTCCTCTGATCCGAAGGTTGGAGGTTTGAATCCCGCTCTCGGCAAAAACATCATCGGTAGAGCAGACAGATACACTGACCACAGGTTGGTGGTGCAATTCCATCTTCTTGGGCAAGACACTTAACCCACCCGTACCTTAATAACTGCATAGACGGGTGTATGAATGTGTTTGTGAATGGGTGACCAGTTCCTAGATGTAAAACTGCTTGGAGTAGCTAGGCTAGTGCCATCTAGTGCCTCCGCTCAATTTCATTTCTCTCCAGCAACTAGGTCAGGAATCGAAATAAACTAGATGGTTTGCAACAACCCCGGAAGTACGAGTCCGGAAACCAGCCAATCAGCGAAGAGCCATACATTCTGTGTTGGCAACGATTTCCGAGATTGAGGATTTAAATCCAGAACAAAGAGAATGTTTGGTGAATTTTATCAAGGGGAGAGACTTTATTGCCCTTCTTCCAATGGGATTTGGGAAAAGCTTAATATTATGTTAGCCCCATTAGCGGCGCATTACGTACATCATGACCAAATAGCAGCGAATGGTTAAATAAAAAGTACCCCCCTACTGTTGAGCGAACAAATTCTAATGCTGCAAGGACAGATGGTTTCCACGAAGTGAAAGTGGCTGATGAATCAGGCTATACTTTGAGTGCCTTGAAGGTGAAAAAGTGCTATATAAAAATGCAACCATCAACATTTACCATTATGTAGGGCACATTAAGCAGGGCACAAATACTCCAAAGTAAAAAGTCTTAATGTGCATCATATTATTGTTAATACTAAACATATTGGTATTGGTAATGGATCACAACAGTCCAAGTATAATTTGCTTTTAACAAAAAGCCCTGGTTTACACCATCATTAAAGATGAAGTCAACAATATCAACTTTTTGTAACTTTCTACCATGTCATAATGTTTTTCCCTCATCATTGTTCAAAATGCCTGAAGTGGTTTAGATATGGTATAGAGATGTCTGAGTACCTGCAATCTCACACTATTGAATGTTTCCTTAGCGGTACGAGCCCATGCCTCTTATACAAGGTTCTGCCCACAGGCCTATGTAATCCGGAAGCCTCTGTAGCACAGTAGCATAAAAAATAATAAATAATACAACTAATGCCAACTCATATTGGATCAAGCTTTTCCGTAACTTAACATTGAAACCCTTACAGCCTAAAGGACACTGCGCTCACAAACTCCTAATAAGATCTTTAGACATTTTCAGTTTGTCTGTTTCTTCCCTTCTACCCCTGTCGTCTTCTTTCTCATTGTTAAAAGCTGCTCTCATGCCACGTTCAGGGACAACCAGGCAGATCGTAAATAAATAAAACAATTTCATGCTTCTTAGGCGAATGCCGAGTGGGAGTACGATACGCAACTGTCCTTGTTCAACCGAGCAAAAATGAGATGAGATCAGATTGTGAGTGTGCCTGTGCTGTTAAATGTGGATGGGTCTTTTTGAGCTAAGTACACAAAAATAATGCTAGCACAGGGAAGTATACAGTAAAACAGAAGAGTAAAGGTTAAATAAAGATACAGTAATAAAACGATTTTCTGACAATGGCTAGAACAGACATGTCAAACTCAGGCCCGGAGGCCAAATTTGGCCCACGATATAATTATATTTGGCCCTCAAGCTCATATCAAATATGTATTAGAGCTTGCCTGCCGTCTACAGATAGACTATAGAGACATAATTTACTTTTTGGTATTATTTTATATTTTGCTTGTTCTGGATTCAATGTTTAAGCAAAACTATTATTAAATATTTATTTTAATAAGAAAAGGTTTAACATTACATGTTTTACAAAACATGCAGATGTTGTTGAAATTTTACAATAAATATTTAGTTTAGCCCACAACTTAATCTCAGCTTTTAATTTTGGCCCTCTGTGAATTTGAGTTTGACACCCCTGGGCTAGATGAAACAAAACCAAACTTCAGTGGTTAAAAGTACTACGACTATTCAGAATGGAAAGCTTTATTTTTATCGTAAAGAAGATGTAGGTGAATTCTTTATCTCTCTGTGTAAGAGAATTAATTTTAAAGATCTATATTATCTTAAGATAGAATTTTAAAAGCTACCATCCCTTTGAAAACAAATGAAAAAATGTATTTCTTTAAAACTTAATAGGTGAAAGCGGGCTGCCTTTTCTGATGACTACTTTCTTTGAATTCTACAATAAACTAAAAGCATGATCATATTACTCACAAAAATAGTAGTTTAAAAATGAAATGAAAATACTGAGGTAAATGTTTAATAAAAACACCATGACAGGTTTTGATTTAGATTTTCGTCAACACTTTTACATTACTTTGAAACTTCTAGTAGTAGCTTGGTGTATGTGTACTAAAACTAAACTATTCATGTATTTATAACGTATTAAATCTAACTCAACTCTACTTGTTTCTCTCCCTTTTCTCATTCATGATTTTACTAATAATGTCAGTAATCCTAATGCCAATATCACTGCTAGGACCTGCACTAAAGTAGCTTTGTATTCATCTCCCTCACTCTCTCCATAGATTTCCCTTATATTTTCTCTTCATTCCTTCAACAACTGTACAATAACATCCCTCTATCTTTGCTATCTTTTTTCATTATACCCTCCATACATAATTATTTCTTCTGTATTGTCCATCTATATCAACGTCTTTTATCATTGTGTTTATATAGATTCAAGCCATGCCTTATCAGCAGGCCCCATCCGAAGATTCATGTTGCGATCGTGCCTATCAGTTTTCCATTGTAATGTAATGCGCATATCTTGGTGAAAGGGAGATCCGTGCAGCTAAAGTGGTGCTGCGTTCCCCAGGGGTAGTGATCTAACAAAGAGGAGGTCATTCAATATCTCCACCATCCACCGGGGCCCACAATAGGAGTCCATGATCGGTATCCATGATCACTAGATGAGCATGTGTCTCTCGGAGAGAACGCCAATTGGATTTTTCTGTATTTATTTATTTATTTTCCAGATTTCGATTTCAGCCTTGTTCTTTGGACGTTGAGTTGATACAATTGCAAATGAGCTATGATTCATTGAAAGCGAGATTTCTTTCATCTCAAATCTGTACTTTTTCAAAATTTATTATTATTGTCTTTTTTAACTTTATTTAACCAAGAGGTCACATTGAGGTTCAGAATCTCATTTTCAATAAAAACCTGGCCAAGGCAGCAGCAATGCAATCAATAAAAAACAGTAAAATCAAAATAAAACATAAAACCATTTGTATCTCACAAGGAAAACATACACACGTCTCAGTCACTATGCTTTTTAGAATGTTCTTAAACTTTTTTTTTTTTTAATATAGCAGTTTTCACAGACATATGTCATAAAGATGCTTTACAGAGCATTACTGAGTCACTCCAGACCTGGTGATGGTGAGCTACTATTGTAGTCACAGCTGCAGTAGACACATACATAGACACAATCTAGTAGTGGTATGTGAAAATAAAACATGGGCAGGTCGGCCCATGTTGTATTTGACAGGTGGTTCAAATAGTTTAGACATCTTTACTATTAATTTTTTGTTATGCAAAATCCTAATTCAGTTTATAAAAATATAAAAGGATATACATTTTTTGTAGCCAGATTCATCAGCTGGTTTAACTTCGTAGAAACTGTCTGACCTCGCAGTGTTTGAATTTTTTTGCTCGACTGTAGGTGATAACTTTTTTATTTAAACAATCGCTGCTATTTGGTAGTCATGTATGTAATGCACCGCTAACGGGGCTAACTGGTATATTAAGGTTTTTCCAAATCCCATAGGAAGAAGGGGAATAACGTCTTTCCCCTTGAAAAAATTCACCAAACATTCTCTTTGTTCCAGCTTTAAATCCTTGATCTCAGGAATCGTTGCCAACACAGAATGTATGGTGCCCCAACTTGCACTTCCAGGGGTTTTGCAAACCGTCTAGTGCATTTTGATTCCTGACTTAGTCGCTGGAGAGAAATGAAATTGAGCGGAGGCACTAGGTGGCACCAGCCGGGCTACATTTTTTGTGCCAACAGACAATGAATATGAATGACTGAAATCATCTTAAAACATACTGGTGGAAGGTCCGGGAATATTGTCAGGAAAGTTCCACAGTATTATGGCATTAAACATATCTGTTGAGTATTTATTCTGTTAAGTAAATTTTTTGGTGTAAAAACACTTTGAAAACCGTGTTCTTACTGTGAGCAGGATCCCCACATATAACCTGTCTATAACTTAGTCACGTTGCTTCATCTGCTTGTTTCCATGAAGATTATATAGTCAAATGCCATGCTGTGGAACATTCTTGAATAAAACACTCACATCTCCATGGAGACAAGCGTGTAGCAGACCCTCCTCCAGAAAAGTTACATATCACCATCATTGTGTATTGACGCTTTTACCAATATATTTCCCTAAAATGATTATCTGTCTTTGTTTGTTTCCACAGTGAAGCCCGACCCCCCTGAGCGCGTGGTGGCTACCCCAGTGAGGAACAACCCTCGCAGGCTGGAGGTGTCCTGGAATAGCCCCTCCACATGGCCTGACATCAACGGCTTCCCCCTGAAGTACTTCCTCCGCTACAGGCCCCTGATCCGGGAGCAGTGGCAGCATGTGAGTCCCTCTGCTGGCTTGTATGGCTGTGCTGGCTGTGATTTGGTGTTTGGTGTTTTATGTGGATTTGTGATGGCTTCGTTCCTGGAATACTGTTTTCAAAAATGTATAATGAAAGGATAATGAACCCTGTCGTTTGTATGGTCCAGGACATACAAACGACAGGTTTAAGGAGTTGTTACTATCGCAGGGTTACCACATATTATGTCATCATTATGCACACATTAAAGACTTTTTAAAAATGTATTTAAACAACACATTTTCAGGAACCTGTGATTAATATGACTAGCTTGTGACTGTAATTTTATGTGTGAGAGACAGCACAGGTCACCTCACCTGTTGTCATCCCGATTGAGCCAGCATAAGCCGACGTACCAGAATTTTCCTAAAACTCTGGCATACAGTGAACTATGGATGATTTCTTTTTTTTTTTTTGGACATATACATAGCGTATTCATAATGAGTTGGATGTATACATAATGTATTTGTAACTTACATAGAATGTTTTGATAGAACTTATACAAACTAATGCTTAGCGTGTTGCCAGTGTCCACAACTTATACCCAACGACAGTCTAACTCAGGGGTTCTCAATACGTCGATCGCGATCTACCAGTCGATCGCCAAGGTCGTGTGGGTAGATCGCCGTGTCTCGTCTCGGACTCGTGTTTGGACTCGGTCTTGTCTCTCACTCGAGGTCTGACACTCAACAATTGCAATCATATTTCATTACGGCCGCTGCTGTTGGCAATAAACTTGTAGCGGGTGCAGGAGCGTGTGGGGCGTCTCAGTGCAGCCTGTGCGCTCATTTGAAACCCGCAGAGACTCTACGGCACATCACAAACACACACGCTCCCTATGCACGGCTCGTCTGCGACAGCGTGTGCCCTCGTGTACCAGCGTGCATCACAGGGCAGTTAAACTTCCTAAACATCCTACCTGTCCATCTACCTCACGTCAGCACGCCGCCCCTCGCCTTTTCACGCTCTCGCTCCTTCCTGCGTACAGCGAACACAAGCCCCTTCCACAGTGCGCTGATTAGAAGAGCTAGATGAAACATGAAGCAAAAACGAGTCTAAATTTGTGTTACAGTGTTGGCAGAAAGCAGGTCTACAGCATAGAGCAGACCGACCAGGTGACAGCCGCGCCTGGTTCACTGTGTGGAATGTTAGCGACAACATGTCTGATTACGACACCGACAATAAAGATTTTGCCTTTACCACAAAGCCAAGGGGAGATCTTTGTGAACCCGAATATACTGATGCCGAAATTCACCAGATGGAGTTAGAACGAGGCAGAGAGAGAAGAGAGACAAGTTGAAGATGGAGCCGTGAGAGACCGAGTGAGCGACAATCACCATCACGTCATTTATAAACTAATATACAGCGAACATAGAGCCTACACTGTGACTGAAGCACGGACTACTAACAGAAACATGGAATCATCCACACGTCCACGTAACTGCTGCCAATAGTGTACACGACATTTACAAAAGTAATAACAGTCGACTTATAACGTTACGTTTTGTAGAAGCTTCACTGGTGATATGACACTGAGTGATTTACTGCACACAGAGTTACAGCTGATTCTTGAGCCTGTCCTCTTGTAAACACAGCGGCACTTCTTCGTTCTTACCTGGTTTGGTTTCCACGTTGAAGCCAAAGGCAAGAAGCCAAAGTTTCCTCAGTGCAAAGTCCGTGACAATAAAACGGTGAAATGTGTGTGGAGATTCAGCAAGATTTTTGTTGTTACAGCCTGGATAATCAAGAGTTTGCACCATTTTTTAGATATATTCTTATGTATCTTTTACAAGCTTATATACTTATCGCTCTAGCTCTCATGTTAGCTCTCTCGCGTCGTGGCGGTCTGCGCATGTAAACACTGCCGAACAACTCAAGAAAGTGATGGATCCGTGCGCGGCTGTCACCTGGCGGCTGCGCGCAGTGATACGAACGGAAAGAAAATAGTGCCAAGCGATAATGAGGTCTTGTGATGCAAATGTGTCACTCTTTTGAACACAGATTGTTTTGAGAAGAAAAACGCTTTATTATACAGTCCCCAGCCAACTTGCCGGACTACTTTCGTCAGCACCAAAAACGGCCAGTACCTCGGTTCACCGGACGCTGTCGGGGGTAAGTCAGTGTTGATACACGACACTGCTCACGGGGATGACATACAGATTTATGTCAAAAATCCCGAACTATCCTTTTAACGTGAGTAACAGAACTTCAGACAGAGCAGAGCCGACAGTTCGCACGACACCCTCAGCAAACATTGTCAGCATCAGCAGCAAAGTACCAGTCGAGATGAGGATATTGACATCGCAGAAATTTCAGTTAGCCTCTTATTAAACCATTGAAGATTTTAAGACGCTAAATATTAAAATACAGAAAGCAGTCCCCCTGTTCTGTCACTACGAAAATACGAATAAAAAAAATACAATAAAACTTACCAAGATGATGAAAACAATCCATCACACCCAAAAGTTGAGCTTGTCTTTTATGGAGGCAGTTCTATCTCTAATATCAGCATAATATGAAACTCCAACTGATTTACACAGTCGATTAAAACGCTACGCAATTTTAAATCATTATATTCATTAACTTTTACGACGCGCGTCAACCCTCTCTTTTACCTTTCTGTTACTAATAATCTCACATGTGGCGTAATTAATCTCGGGCTTGTCCCATTTATATGAAATGTGGAGTTTTTGGGAGGAGAGGGGCAGTACGAGTGTTTCAGTGTGTAGTAGTAGTAATAGTAGTAGTAGTAGTAGTAGTAGTAGTAGTAGTAGTAGTAGTAGTAGTCGTGCGAAAGATAGAGAGAAGAAGGGAAGTAGGACGAGAGAGTTGGTATAGAAGCGTATGGGGATAGAGAGAGCGGGTGAAAGAAGGGAGAGAGAATAAAGAGATAGAGAAAGAAGGAGGGATGCAGAGGGAGAGATACAAAGTGGGAGGGATATTGAATAAGGACAGAGAAAGAAGAATGGAGAGAGAGAGAGAGGAGGAGAGGATGGAGCTAAAGAAAGACAGATAAAGAGGGAGGGACGGACGGAGGAGGGGTGAATGGAGAAAAAAGAAGAAGAGAGAGGGAGAAAGAGAAATAGAAAGAGGGAGGGCTAGAGAATAAAGAGGTGGAGAGATAGAAAGAAAGGAAAGAAAGCTAAAGGGGAACATAGAGAGATAAAGAGTAAAAAAGAAGAAGAGAAAGGGAGAAGGAGGGATAGAGAAAAAGGAAGAGGTGAAGAAACATAGAAGGATGGAGGGAGGGAGAGAGAGAGAAAGAAAAGAAGGGAAAGAGGGAGAACGAGAGACAGAAAGAGGGAGGAGGACTAGAGAATAAAGATGTGGAGAGATAGAAGGAAAGAGAGAAAGAATAGAAAGCTAAAAGGGAACAAAGAGAGGCAAAGAAAAGAGGGAGGAATAGAGAAAAGGGAAGATGTGAGGAAAGATCGAAGGGTGGAGAGAGGGAGAGAGAGAGAAAAAGAAGAGAAAAGAGGGAGAAGGAGAGACAGGAAGAGGGAGGGCTAGAGAATAAAGATGTGGAGAGATAGAAGGAAAGAAAGAAAAGAAAGAAAGCTGATGGGGAACAAAGGGAGCAAAGAGGAGAAAAGAAGAGAGCGGGAGAAGGAGGGATAGAGAAAAAGGAAGAGGTGAAGAACGATAGAAGGAGGGAGAAGTGGAGAGATAGTTAGAGAAAAAAGAAGGGGAAGAGGGAGAAGGAGAGATAGAAAGAGGGAGGGCTAGAGAATAATGATGTGGAGAGATAGAAGAAAGAAAGAAAGAAAGAAAGAAAGAAAGAAAGAAAGAAAGAAAGAAAGAAAGAAAGAAAAGAATGCTAAAGGGGAACAAAGAGAGGCAAAGAGTTGAAAAGAAGAAGAGAAAGGGAGAAGGAGGGATAGAGCAAAAGGAAGAGGTGAAGAAAGATAGATGGATGGAGAGACAGAGGAAGAGAGGGAGAGAGAGAAAAGAAGGAGAAAGAGGGAGAAGAAGAGACAGAAAGAGGAGGGCTAGAGAATAAAGATGTGGAGAGATAGAAGAAAAGAAAGAAAGAAAGAAAAGAAAGAACGCTAAAGTGGAACAAAGAGGGGCAAAGAAAGCAAGAGGGAGAGATAACGAAAAAGAAAGAGGTGACGAAAGATAGAAGGATGGAGGGAGGGAGGGAGAGAGAGGGGGGGAGAAGAAGAGACAGAAAGAGGGAGGACTAGAGAATAAAGATGTGGAGAGATAGAAGGAAAGAGAGAAAGAAAAGCTAAAGGGGAACAAAGAGAGGCAAATAAATAAAGAGGGAGGGGCAGAGAAAAAGAATGAGGTGAAGAAAGATAGAAGAAGGGAGGGAAAAAGAAGAGGAAAGAAGGAGAAGGACAGATAGAAAGAGGGAGGGCTAGAGAATAAAGAAGAAAGAAAAGAAAGAAAGGTAAAGCGGAACAAAGAGGCAAAGTGTAGAAAAGAAGAAGAGAGAGGGAGAAGGAGGGATAGAGAAAAAGGAAGAGGTGAGGAAAGATAGAAGGAGGGAAGGAGAGAGAGATGGAGAGAGAAAAGAAGGGAAAAGAGGGATAAGGAGAGACAGAAAGAGGGATGACTAGAGAATAAAGATAAAGATAGAGAAATGAGCAAAGTGGGAAAAGAAATGGGTAAATCATTGAGAGGAGAGAGGAAAACGGGGACAGATGGAGAGAGCAGGAGATGGGGATCTGAAAGAAAGAGAGGGAGAGAGAAAGAAAGAGGGGAGAGAGGGGGGTTCCTGAGATGAAAGAGTGAGAGAGAGAGAGGAAGGGAGAGTGTAAGATTTCCAGTGTTATTATCATGGAAGTCATTGCTGCGCTGAGGTGTTACAGACGAGGATAATCGTATTTTCTTTCGCTCTTTTTCTCTCGGTGTCTGGCTCTGTGCATGTCGTTTTCATCCCAGTTCTTTGGCTGTAAGGTTCACACGTCTGCCTTCTGCCGAGCTCCGTAACACCGGCTAAACTAAACCTTACATTTGGGATTATAAAAAAGAT